CCCCCCCCCCCCCCCCCCAAACTAATGAGAATCTATGGGCCCGAATCCCCTCTGCCACACAACAACAACTCATCAGCCCAGCGAACAATAGCCTGGATAAACTATCCCTCACAGCGCTGTGGTCCATCGGTCTCACTACAGGAATAGCTGATACCGTCTCATATTACACACTTATTACATTTTACTGGGAGAGTCTCCAGCTATTTGTAGGCACAATGAGCAGTTAACTTTAACTACAGATGGGGCCATCACCCCTCTCAAGACAGACAGGCCACCCTGACACCAAAAGCACACCCCCTGCCCTGCTCCCTCAGCTTCAAAGACACACACACACACACACACACACACACACACCCTGGCCTGTAATGTAGCATGGCACCCCAGCAGCTGCCAGCTCAAAGCTTTTTTTAGTGTGACTGTACAGAAAGGCTGGACAAAAACTGATTACAATGTGTGTGTGTGTCTGCAGCACGCTGCTCTAATTATATCATCATGGTGAGTAAGAAGAGCCAGCTTTGACCGTGCACACACACGCACACACACAGAGAGAGAGAGAGAGAGAGAGAGAGAGAGAGAGAGAGAGAGACCACACAAACAAACACACACTTACCAACTGCAGTGAACATATCACCAGCAGCGTGCATCTTCCGTCGCACTTCCCCATCTTGGAAGGCTCGGGACGCGGCTTGGAGCCGCGGAGGCTCCGGGGGAATGACGGGTCCCCGGTCAGATCCAGAATGCCTGGCCGCCTCAGCTCACACCATTCCCGGCTGAATAGACCTGCCCAAGGCAGCCGCCTCCTCCTCCTCCTGTAACTCTGGGGTGACCCTTCGACTCACAGCGAGTGACCCATCCTGGCCGCTGGTTTTGTCGGTAAATACCAATCGCGAGGAGAGGAGAGGAATTGGGGGGGGGGGGCGTCCACTTCACACCGGCCTGCTGCGGTCCGACCACCGACAACCGAATCACCTCGGCCACACCTTCCGGAGAGGGGACACACAAAGACACAAAGAGAGACGGAAGGCTGTCATAACGTGCCCCGGGCTACAGACAGAAATGAGCGTGATATGATACCGGATCACAGGCCGTGTTACTACGGTTACTACGGCTAACGTTGGGGCTAAATCTGCTCCGGACACAAAGCAGCCCGTTGTGACTCACGGTTTTCTAGAAACGGAAGAGTCCTCGTGCCCCCCCACCCCTACCCACGTCGTCCCGATCTCCTTTAACTGTTACCAGCGATAGAAGTCAAGTTAACGGGAAGATCTGCTCACCAGTACCGGGCTCCGTCGCTCCGTCTCGCGGCGTCTTTTGTCAACAATCGGTGCCGGGGCGGGCGCAAGAGGAGCCGGGGGGGAGACAGAGAGAGAGACGAGGGGGTGGGGGCTCTCAGTCACCGCGACCCCCTCGAGGAGGAGCTGCATGGATTCTGCAGAACCCGCGTGCGTGCGCGCGGCCGATCAGCAGTCCCGCGAGGCGTTTGAAAAAAAAAAAAGGAGCACAAAAGAAACGGGGGGCTCGAGGTTAAGACAGCCGAAAATAATGGTCTGTAATCGCCTCCCACTGCCGTCCGAGTGTGGACACAGACCGGGGAGAGAACTGGCCCGCGGTCCTCTCCTCGGCCTGCGGTTATTCAGAGCGGAAGAAACAGAATTAAAAGCCCCGATTAACCTCAGCTACTCAGCGCGAGCTGTGTGCCCGTGGAACAAAATGAGCGTCACTTAAGTAGCGACGATGAAAAGGCAAATAGTGGCCGCTGAAAGCCATTTAACAATCAATGGAAAACCAAACCATAAAATGTTATTTATAGTTTACTCTAAAAATATGTTGTTCGCTTATGTTTCTCAAATAAAAAAACAAAGGCATGTTCACCTTCAGCGTCCAGTTTTTTCATAATTGAGCTTATGTAACTATTTCTAGTCTATTATGTTTTGTACTTTTATGAAATTTTATTCCATTTTAACTTGTACATTTCTCTATCTTATGTAAAGCATTTAGAGTTTCCTGTTTGAAAGGCAAAACAAAACTTGCCTACAGAAGAGCTACAAATATAAATATTTCATTCAAATAGATTAAGTGACCCATAAACACAGCCCTACTTAGTTTAGCCAAGTAAACTCATGTTCATTGAACAATTAGACTGGAGGAAAACATCATGAATGGCTGCAGTCACATGCATGTAACTCTATATAGTGCTAATTAAACTGACCTAATTAATGCTAGATAGACTAACAGAGCTTGACAAAAGCTCAACCCCTGCACCATAAGAGGCAGTAACAAGATGGAGACTATAAATCCCTTTTTTATTTCTTAAAGAAATAATTGTATAAGTACTTACCGTAAAATTAATGTGTCTAAAAAGCAATAGTACTCACTGTTAATGGCCTCATTCTTCAAACAGTTAACTTCATCTCTTTACTTCCCAACACAACTGAACAATAAGAAAAGATGAGTACATAAAAGTATGTAAACTACACTCTATATTGATAATTATAAACAGTTGATAGTAAAAACTGCAACAAATAAGAATGAGGATACGATGACATGCAGAACAGCACAAAGGCCTGTAAACTGAGTTTATGGTACATATTAATTAAGTGCATTAATTGCACATCGAACAAACTAAAATGTGAAATTTGTTGACCTAATTTTCCTTCTGAGCCCCGTATCTCCAACCAGAGAGGATGGTCCACATTGGCTAAGATGAGTGTTGCTCCCCTTGTAATTTGTTGTCTAAAAATGTTAAAAGTTTAGGCTGCTGCTGCTCACCAGCGATTTTACAGCCCACCGAGACTATATTGCTCAACTGATTCCTGTTTGGCACATTTAAACTCCCGTACAGAATCAGAGTCAGCTGTAATGGCCAAGTAAGTGTGAACACATACAAGGAATTTGACTCCTGTGTTTCGCTGCTCTCAAGGTAGATAAACAGAAATATACATTTGTCTAAAACAAAGAGACAACAAACCTGAAAAGGGTTAACATAAACATCTGAAACCTACAACTAACTGAGTGTGTCAGGACAGAATAAGTTAGATCTGTAATAAACAGTTTGTTGTTCTTTCTTACACATTGCCTCCATGTTCATATCAAAGCTCCACTTCTTGTCATTAATGTGTTTACCTGTGAGAAGAACATTATTTCATTCGCGGTTGTTGGATAAAACCAGCAGCAAGTTGCACGTAAAACTACTATAAACACAGGAACTACTCACAATGACAAATGAATCTCACAAACTCATTTTAAAGAATAAATCGAGTTTATTAAAAAGAAACAAATCAAAATTTAAAAAAAAACAAGTCACGGTGGAGCTGGTTGTGACTGATAATAAACTTCAAACACACGTCCTGAGGTTGTTCTGCGACGAGCTGAAGCTCATGAAATTACAGAGACTCCTAACCCACCGACAAACACCACCCATCCACTTCTAAAGGCAGGACACACACACACACACGCTCACACACACACACACACGCACGCTCTCACACACAAACGCACTACTGAATTTCTCCCATGTAGAGCCTTTTGTCACTGGCGGCAGACAGTACTGTGTAGAGGGACAAAGAGAAAAGGAATATTGTTAGTCATGTTGTGTAACTACTTTTAGCCTCAGGTGAACTAACCAGTGAAGTCAAATGAACACATAGATAATAAAGAGTGTCGGGTGGCAAAACCACATGATTTATTGTTAATATTATTAAAATGATCTTCCCTCCAGATACCCCGTCTCCCTAGTCAAGATAACGGCATCAAGTCTTCGTGTGTCTCTATTCTATTCTAACCGGAGACTAAAGCTGTAGTTTGGCTCACCTATAGGCTCCTCTGGGTGGAAGGCCACTTCATTGACGGAGCCGGCGTGGCCCGGCAGCTTGTAGAGGATTCTACGTGATGTGGTGTCCCAGATGTACACAAATCTATGAACACAGACAAGCAAACAGCTGGAATGACTCGATGCGAGACAGGGCAAAGCGGAGACGTATGAGACTAAAGGATTACTGGATGTTTGTGACAAGACATTGGGTGCGGTGTATTATATGCTAGAGTAATGCTGTTGGTGGATTAATATAAACTGAAAGGGGTCAATTTCATAGAGAACATTACTTCTATCGTGCAACTTAAAGATGATACGTATCTAGTAGATGAACCTTTGTAATAATGTACTTATTATATTAAAAGTATTACAAGTCTGGACACAGACTAGGTGGGTTTAATACATGTTTGTCTTTTTTTTAGGTTCAAAAGAAGCACAACCTCTTGAAATGCATATAGAGTCAACTAATTAGGTTATGATGTATATGTATACATGATCTTTGTGTGTATACGAATACTTTTATTGCAGCTTGTTTATAGTTGTTCATTGTTGGTATGTGTGTATATTTAAGAGTATGACATTTCTAAGACCAGAAACATTCTATACATTCTTTCTATACACAACTGTGTTTATATTTTATTTTTCATAAAACGAGAAGCCATAAAAGACAATAGAATGTTAATATAAAATATGTGGGACTTTATCTCTTCTCTCAATAAAAGTATAAAGATGAAACATTTTTGTCTCTCACCTGTCAGCTGAGCCGGCAGCTATCTTACTGCCGTCAGTAGACCAGGAGCACCTCAGCAGATTCTGACGGACAGGAACAGATGTTAGCAACATGACACAACCGTTCTACACGTGAGCTGCTGTCACAGTAATAAGATGCACTTTTCTTTATTCCAATTAACAGCAGAGAGTGATGGGAGAGGCAGGAGAGGATGATGGGAGATGTCAAGCAACAGTGGTCGACAACGTGCGTAACCTTCACCAGCAGGACTGCAGCTGGTGGTCACTTATGCATAGACTGTATCAGTTCACAGGATTACCGTTTATTGCAAGTGAGAAAGTGACCTGTTTGGATGCCTTTTTAGGAAAAGAGATTTTTTTGAAAATGACGGTGGCAAACTCTGCTAGGAGGTGAAAACCATATGCCCCTTTCAGTATTTTCCCAAATATATATAATCCCTCATCCTTGATGGTTTTAACAGTGGAGAGATGCATCAGTGCTGTAAATTCAAGTAGATTACATACTGGCATCAGAGAGTTATTTATGTTACCTTCTCAAAGTTGTGAACGTTGCCCTGGAAAATCTTCACGCATCTCTCCTTGGGTGCAAATGGTCGGACATCCCAAATACGCACTACACAGAGACAAAGACAAATAAAGGATTCAGCCAGGGACGCTTCATTGTTGTGAGCTGAGAGAAGGCATTTCTTAGACTGTAAATATACACACAAACATCCTACCTGTGTTGTCCATGGAGTTTGAGAGAAGGTATGATCCCTCAGAGCTCAGGCTGAGTCCAGTTACTGAGTCACCATGGCCGTGCATATTGTAGATCAGCTTGTTCTGCCTCAGGTCCCACACCTGCACAACACAAAACAAAAAGCAACTGTTGAGGTTTATACAACAGGACATACAGTATGTATGCTTATATGTAGAGAACAAAGTGTAGAAACCAGTTGTCATGATTGAGGTCTATTCGCAACCTGTTGAGGAAAAAAGGTTCTTACAGCACATGAACACACACAACACAATAACTATAAAATCACACCGGAGCCTGCTGCAGGATTTTGAGGTAACAGATTGAGTAATGAAACACAAAAGCAATTCTCGCCTTCAACAGAAGTGTGAGCATTGAGCAATCCTTGGTTCCTGCTGTTATCACAGTGGTTTATATCCAGAGCCACTCTTGTAATCTGTGACAAAAGCTATCGGCACAGTTGAACCGTTTGTAATGATCTCATTTTTAATCTTCTGTGAAATAGCCTCTATGGTCATAAATGTGGTACTTTGTGTATGTGCGTCAGCTATACCCAGAAATAGCTCCTGATACATTCCCATCTGAGCCACAGATATTTAAGTCTGCCCGTGGATGAAGAGGAAAAGCTTTGTAAATTCTTGCACCATGCAATCTTGGAAATCTGTTGACGTGTCTACAACCAAATGCATTTCCATGACTTCTTCACAGTGGATAGAAGGCTTTCCATGATGATCATTTTCCAGGTGAACTGGACGATAAAATAAAAAATGTTGAGATACCAGCAATAGAAATCACTGAACAACCCAATTTTGCCATTCTGAGACGTTCCGTAAAAGCTTTCACTCGACCCTTTCAAAAAATGTTGCAAATAAATGACTATTGTCAATGTTTTCTTAGAGATAAGCGTATGAGATTAGAGTGATGTTGATTTTGGTTTATCCTGCTTTTCCTAATTTTGCCTACATCCATATGCGTTGATGTCTTAACAGCTAATTTGAATCTCTCAAATCTGATGAGGATATATTTTTAATCATTCTGAGTGAAAACTATCTTCCAGGACGTTATCATTTTCAGTGTAATTCCCGGGTTTTCTGTGTATGCTGGAGCCCAGTACCTTGATGTCGTTGTCGATGCCTCCTGACAGGATCTGGTCACTGGTGTCATTGAATGTGGCGGCTAGCACCTGGTAGGTGTTCTGAAAGGTGTGGATCGCCCCTTTCTTACGAATGTCCCACAGCTACAACAGTGACAAACGCATATAGAAAGATAAACAGGAGCGCGATCAGACCAACAACTCAGCAGTATTTGAGAAATATTATATGTATACAACGACAATAATCATTTTCTAGAGTAGTCTATTATTCAGACCAGTGAGTGAGCTAAATCTCAAAAATATTTTAAGTCAATTAACTAGGACCAAAATTCTAATTAAATATCTACACAGACCAGTTTATTTACACTTATTTGCAGCTGGAAATCTCACCTTGACCGTCCCGTCATCGCTGCCGGTGCAGACGAGCTGGGGCCCTCGGCGAGCCGGGTAGCAGGTGTTAACGAAGGAGGTGTGGCCCTTCAGACGCTTGATCCTCTCGCCTGTCTCACTGTCCCACACACCTACAGTCTTGTCTGTGCTCGCCGAAAACAGCATGCTGAAATACACAGCAGAAAAACACAGTTGGTCGATCCTTTATACACACATTCATCAACCTGGACGATTAACACGTGAATTAAGAAGCAAAGAAGAAAACTATATCACATTATAGGTGTTCAAGACAGTATGAACTAAACAACGTCAAATTGATATCCAAAAAATGTAACCATACCTCCTCAGACTCAATTTTTCCTGTTACTTATTCACCCACAATGTCTCAAGTTTATGCTATAAATGTTGTTAACAAAGCTTATTATTTTGTGTAAAGTTTTGTGTATCAGGGTAACCCTATGACATGTTTCTTCATACCTTCCATCTGTGTTGTAGTGGAGCTCCATCACTGCTCCACTGTGGCCCTTCAGAGTGGCATAGTTGTCACAATCCCCATATACATTCCACATCACTGCAGCAAAGAGACAGTGCACAGGTTATCCACAGTAACAGAGTCTGAATACATTTTACAAAGTTTGTGTGAACAGCATGATTGGCTTTCATTTATATTCTCTTACATATGAGCCTGTCAAATCCTGAGGAGGCCAGCGTGGCTCCGTTGGGGTGAAACTTGCAGCAGTAGACCTCGCCCTCGTGGCCCGACATCAGCATAATGGGAGCCTGCAGGCTGGAGCTCCGTGGGGGACCCTGTGGTAGACACATTGAGGGTCAAATACAGTGGCTGTCTGACTCTGAGGTTAGGGCTGGATGAATTGATATACAGTCAGCTGTGGAAGCATAACAAGAAGTACTTCTTACAGCATAAGAGCCTAATGGTATATGGGTATCAGCATTTGTGAATCAATAAGTTACAATACAGAAATGCCAGCTATGTCTGAGATTATTCAGAAACAGTATCATCTTTTTGTTTAGCTCTTAAATATGAATAACAGCCACAAAGATAGTTATTCATAATATCTAATTAGGTAACTTGCCCAGTTGATGTTTATCTTAGTGGACTGCACGATAATAAGAGGGTAAACAAGGGAAACTGGTATTTTAAAGAATTGCAGACGTCTGACATGGAGCTTAGTGTCACGTAAAAGCTGAAGCCACAGACTCCAAATAACCAAAACAATTCATCAAAACCTCTCCAAAGTAAAGTAAGTTTAACAAAAATGAACCCCATAACCTTTAAAAATGTAGGATTTATTACAAGAGTATTATATTAGTCTGAATTAGTGTTAGCTAGGTGTAACGCTAGCTAATAAAATGAAGTTTACATTTTGTGTCACAAAATCTATTTCTATTTTATGATATGCATTGATATCTAAATACTTAAGACCTCCCTAGTCCTAGCTAAACATGATTGAATGTTAAAAAGACAGTATTTCCTGCGTTTTAAGTTAAATATAACGTTAAGCTAGCAACACAGTCTCGTATGTTCACCTTAAACAATGTCCCCCAGTTAATTAGTGCACTGAAGAACGTGTTGGGTAAATGTGTGGTAATGAATGGCGGTCTATGTGTTTTAACAGCATCCAACAAGTTGCTACTCTACGTATCTAGTCTCCAGGTTATAGTAACTATAGCTACTCTACGTACCATGGCCACGAGTTGTTGAGACTGAGCCGCCGCCACCAGCTCCGTACGGGGCCGCTTCACGGCGGTAGGAACCACCGCCATGTCCGCCACTCTCTTCTTAGGTTCAATCATTCTGATTTAGTCTACAAGAGTCAGAACAAAATGACTTTAATGGTAGAATTTATTTTAAAAATGAAGATAAACGTCTTTCATGGACGGAAGTCGAGCAATGGCGTACATACGAAGAGCATAAAACTACTTCCGGTGGCTACGAGGCGTGTGATTGGTCGAGGCCTGCACCAGCTGCTCTGATTGGTCTACATTACTTGTTGTTGAACTAACTGCACCGGATGTAAAAGTACACCAGCGCTGCTAATACGAAAGGTGACACACTATTTTATTTTTTATATTAATATTTGATCGCGCTACATTTATACTTAACGTACAGATCAGACATCCTGTTGGCGTGTGTGTTTGTTCGGTTAACCAGGTTAGCGAGCTCAAGACGATGCTTAAATCTAACGTTAGCTAATTTAGCTTAGCCGGCTAACGTTAGCCCAAAATGCTACTATTCAAACTAACGCTGCTCTGTTGCAGCATATGTAAAGTGAAGTTAGCCGACAAAAGTTTTAACCTAAGGTTCCGTTGCACACATTTGAACTTCCCGAATCTTATACTACTCAACTATATTGTATCCCTGAGAGAACTGAATAGCGACTAGGCGACGAAAATAGCGTTTCTCTGGAAGAGAGGGGACGTTTAAAGTCTCTAATGCAGCATTACACATTTCAAAGAGGGATTTCATTGTGTTAACCACTGAACACGTTTAACTATTCTTTGTATTGTTGAGACTACTCTAAAATATCTACCCAGTTATCTTCATTTAAACAAATGCATTTACTTAGTTACACAACAAAAACAAACTACTCAAAAGGCAATTAATAGACAAAATGCAACAAAAATTTAGCTTTGAGAAATTGTTATGTTGTTTTTTCTTTTATTTTTTAGCATTTGGGTTCTGGTAACTATCAATAAGAGTAAATCATAATGATTAAAAAAAACGAAAAGAAGGTTCTCTTCTATTTTTATGCTACTACAAATGATAAAATATGTCAATCTTCTAGGTCCACTCATTGATACCTGTGGTGCACTTCCGCTGAGACTATGTCGGACAGTGATGGCCATGCTCAAGAGCCGTCCGGACTGGATGGTCTACCACCAATGCACAGCATTGCCAAGGGAGAGGTGGTCTCTGTTCAGACCTACGGAGCCTTCGTCAGACTGCCGGGCTACAAGAAAGAAGGTAGGAAAAAAGTGAATCTATTTCTATAGAACATTTACAAAGATCACAGGGAAAGTCAAACAAATCACAATAATATGAATAAATAGTGCTGTCAAAGAAGGAAACACCACAGAATACAGAAAAGTAAGTAACAGAGAGACAACACGATAAGAACTAGAAAATCACAATCTACAGTTACTCACACAATTATAATAAAACATAAAACGGGAACATGCAGTGGCAGAAAGATGCTAAGTCAACACCTGCATCCACTGCCAGTTGAAACCACTGCGTCAGAGATGGGACCTTGGCCAGAGCCAAAAGCAAATGCAGACTGAGTGCAAATAATGCAGGAACCGTAGTGTCAGTGTATGACTGTGCTGTCTCAGCGAGGTTTAGGAGAAGAGACCGCCAGGCATCTCCTCTACATCATGCAACTAGTGCAGGATTTCAACATTACAACAGAATTCCTTCTCTGCTTGCAAGAAGCGGTTTGGATGATTATCAGTTCTGCAAAGTATCCAGCATCCTGCAATCTGTGAGCATGACACAGCACATACCAAATATACAGTGCAAGTCCATATTTTTGATATGTTAACTTATTTTTTATACGTTAGCACAGTCACCCAGTTTGAGTTTTGTGACTTCCTAATACAAGTTGTGCAGGAATGGTTTGTGGTAGAAGAAGTGGAACAGGTTGATGATGTGGGATGTCATCTGTATGATCTATATTTACACCTGGGTTACTTTTTGGATAATGATTTTTCGTGGCACAATTGTCCTTGACCTGCACGTCAACCTGAAGAACAGCTGCTCATTTTCACCACTGGAGGGCGAACTGAGCAAAGTTTACCGGGTTTGAAATCAGCATCTGTTCATAATCAGAGAGAATTATCTATTTTTTCTCTTCTTTTGTTGTTTAATGTTACAAAGACAGATTTTTAGATGAAAATGATTTATTTAATATAAGTTAGAACCGTGATAGGAGTTCAGAATGCATGTTTGTTTGTCTTAAAGATTTCTAATGGTCCGAAAAAAAATGTTTGAGTCTTGATGGCATTAAGGCATACAGTATATTTCATCATTAGCAAAATAAATACTTATTTGCCTGTCTTAATCCTTTGAAAGCTATTTCTGGTTTTTTTTAGATTGATATTTACATTTTTTCCCTTACACATACAGGCCTGGTGCACGTGAGTGAGATGTCATCATCACGCATTGAGAGTGCCTCAGAAGTTGTCGATATGGGGGAACAGGTGTGGATTAAAGTCATTGGGAGAGAGGTAACAACAACACACACACACACACACACACCCCAAGCTGTGTCAGTGAAGTGAGCAGGATGACTGCAGCTCTGTTTCCTGTCTCTCAGATGCGAGATGACAAGGTCAAGCTGTCCTTCTCAATGAAAGCTGTCAATCAGGGAACTGGGCAGGACTTGGACCCAAACAATGTCATGGGAGAGTAAGTGCTTATGGATTTATTTTGTTATAAATACTCTGTGTGTGTGTGTGTGTGTGTGTGTGTGTGTGTGTGTGTGATTATTTTCTGTGTGTGATTGCAGGCAGGATGCGAGGCGACGTAGGCAATTTAGAGATCACACAGGCAACAGGATCACACTGGAGGCCGTCCTCAACACAACGTGCTCAAAGTGCGGCTGCAAGGGTACGACAACACCACGAACGAAACAAAAGCCATATCTCAAAACAACAAAATACGCAGAGACTGCATTTGTTTCCTACACATTTCTACTGGGAAATTATCTTGAAATCCCTTTCACTATTTTCAGGTCACTTTACAAAGGACTGTTTCTCTGCTCCGGGCTTGCAGTACGCTCTGTTACCTGATGAGAGCGCTGAAGAGCCACGGCAGCAACAGCAGCAGACAACTTCAGTTGCACCACAGCAAGAGTCAGCTAAAAAGAAGAAGAAAAAGAAGGTCAATATGTGACAGTTAATGTCTCGCATGGCTATCACTTCCTTTTTTTCTCCAGTCTCTTCTTGTGTCTCTTGGCTGAGTCATCTGATGTAAAAGCCAGGTCTCTTCATGGTAATGCATGTCTGTGGTTGCTTACACCGTGAGATACAAGGCGGCTTCATGAGAACTGTTGAAATAATTTAGTATGATTTGTGCTGATACAATGAAAAATAATTGTTTAGTGATGTTTTTTTGAGGTATAAAAACTACTCTGCTTCCTACACATTTCTGCATTGTCAAGTTCCTTTTTACGGCCGCACAAACACAAATGTTTGTCTCGTGTGTTTCCTGCAGGAGAAGAAAATGAAGAAGAAGAGGGAGAGGAAGGAGTCGGAGAGCGGCAGCAGCAGCAGCGGCGAATGCAAAACCAAGAAGAGGCGCCACGAGCACACTCACGACAAAGAGGACAAGAAGAAGAAGAAACATAAGAAACACAGATCACACAAACACAGCAGCTGAGCCACACAACTCAAACACACATCTTAAGTCACACAAACTGCAGCTATCAGACAGACGCAAGGGGGGGGGAAGTGAGTAACAACAGACGGAGTGACAGACTTCCAGCTGTGAATCCTTTAATAATCTCTCCCAACGACAGCTCATTATAGAAACCTTCATTCATTTGAGTGAAGGAAGGTTTTCCCTCACTGTCTCGTTATGTTATTGGAAGCACATTCAGACTTCCTGTCAAGTTTAAAGAATTAAAATATGTCAAGATGGAAAGTGCTGCTAACACAAAAATCAGGTGACAAGCCCCACTTGTCCTAAAGTAACCTCCGACTCCCCCTCAGAGGGAGGAGTTCACACATCATATGTAACCGTTAGGGCAACATGTGGATACCCCTCCTGTAATCCAGATATTGTTTACAGCTATCAGGTTTCATCAAGCATTCATTAAGAAGACAATAAAGCTGAATCTTGGGGGGGGTCTAACATGAAAATCCTTCCAATAAGCCACAGAGAGAAAGCTACACACACACACACACGCATAGGAAGTATTAGAGACAAACAGGACGTGTAATGCAGCACAAGTGAGCATGACGGGAAGCTCATGCTGTGATGATATCCTGGGGTTGTCTGCCGCTTATTGTCCGTTTGTGTGTACATCAACATGTGTGTTTGTGTATCTTTGCCTCCAGGACATTACACACAACCCTCCTTCCTGCATGTCAACTGTTAACTCCAATAAAGGTGTTTTTTATTTGTGAACATAAAAAGTCTCTTGATGTCTTTGTTCTTGGACCTTGAACTCGTAATGTTGCAGTTAGAGCAAGTCCACGGGGAACAAAACAAACAAACACACACACACACACACACAGTCGCACACATACATCAGACATTCTCATGTTGGGTCTGGTCCACCCTGGGGTCATACCACGGTAACGTGTGCCAGAATAGGACTGAGCTGAGGTAATTATACAACAGGTCATGTCCCATAAGGTCAAAGTAGCAAAAATAAGCTTTTATTCCTTTCAAAGGATTATCCCCCCCCGTCAAGTAAGACAAGATAAAGTGAAGCTGATGAGCAGCATCTTGTTTCTTTTGTGCTGTTTTGACCTCAGAGCTCCCACTTGTAGGATTGTGGAGAGATTGTTTCCAGCTGCAGTGACGTGTGACATGTTGATACTACTGTCTCTTGGCAGCGACTACAGTTCGTCGGTTAGTGTCCAGACTTTTTCTTACAATCTCCTTTCTCTTGTTTGCAGACAAATGCACAAACAGGCTTTATTAAGGCAAGTTACACATTTAATATGATACCGAGCTCGCACAACCAGAATTGCGAGCTTGTGTTGAACATAATTTGGATACAACTGCAACAATCAGTCAACACGAAAAGTTAAAAAGTAGAATCTACTGAACATATTTGTTCAACTTGTGTTCCAGTCTTTGATGTGGGGGGGTCCTTTCACCATCCTTGAATTATGACACATAGCTGCTTCTATAAGGGAATAAGCCATTTATCTTGTTAATCTTTGTACATTATGACGTATTTGGAAATGAAAACATAGACGAGAGAATTGTCAACCTGGTTTATAAAATCAAGACTTTTTAAATTGATTAAACTACGTAATGTATGGTTGGTGATTTCAATGTTTTACTTCCTCAGCGAATTATACCTTCAATTCATTGCCACCTAAATTTATTCATTTGTTAAATGTATAACACATAACGGGAAGAAGCTCGGCTAAAAACTCAGGACAACCATTTTTTTGAAGTTTTAAGTCACTCTACTCGCTGAATCAGCAGCCGGAGAAGCAATAACCATAACTTGTGTGTTACCTTTGTTGTTTTGTGATCAAAAGTTGTGCTCCAGGTCATATCAGTGCTGCTAATTCCTGCAAAAACCCGGTCTATGTCTCCATTTAGTGGATGAATTACATCAATTGTTACATCAATTATACCTGCATTGAGCTGGAACACACTCCAAAGTAGTCCATAGACCAGGCATAGAGATGCGTAGAGGTCTGATTTTTTTAAATGAAGCTGAAAAAAAATACATTTAGATGGAATTGATATTTATAGTGACATTAAAATGATATTAAATATATTTTACAGTTACCTGACAACATTTCAAATGGCACAGACTGTAACCAAACGTACCCAAATGGCCAATTTGAAGATTCTGCCTTAAAATGCCTCTACTAAAACCTCTCCAACTTTGCTCTGGTTCACTTTAGTAGCATCAGTCCGTGCACAGGTTATGTGCAGATGTTGTGATATGGTTTGCCAAAGGTTTTGGGCTGCAACTGTCTCATTAAAAACGGATATTCACTCTAAAAGTGTGCTGTTTTAAATTAAATATTTAATTTATTCTGTGTTTCATCTTCATTTGCATAGTAACATATATATATATATATATATATATATATATATATATATATATATATACTGATGCTTACACAGCTGCAGACATCTCACAAATGTTACCTTTCTTATGAGACCAGGATTATTCAAATATACCTTGTAGTTGCAGAGATATTCTCAATTGGTTTTGGGTGGTCAGCCAGAGGCCTAGGGGCTCTCAGGGGTTGGGAGGTTAATGGAGTTTGACAAAAAACAAGACACTCTTCAGTCTTTCTATAGCAGCTCTGTGAGGCTCTGCTAAATGCTAATAGTAGCATATGCCAATATGTTAAAGTTTACCCTGTCCACCATGTAAACATGCTAACATTTTCTAATTTCCCACCATCCTGGTTTATATGTCAAATAGAATTGTTTGAATATTTAAGAAACCAAACCCACAATCTTTTTCAGATTCAGATAAAAATGTCTTCTCTAGATGATCTTCGGTGCGTCCTGAACACTATCGTTCATTCTAGACAACACTGCAAAGTAATAATGGAATTACTTTGAAATAGGACCAAAATAGGATACTAAATCTTGTTTGTTTGTGAAAATATGTACATTTTTATTTCATAATTCATTTGACTAATAATTTAATCATTTTTTTGTTTAAATGTCTTTTGAATTCAACAACAGCCATTTTGGAAGTGATGTCATTGGTACACAAATGAACTCACTGTCACATGACCTCACCAGGATGTTCAGTATGTGTCACTTCAAGATCAAGGACAAAACTGTAGAGGGAACTTTCCCGGATATTTAAACTGTGTCACCGTGGGTCCTTATGGGGTAAATATCAACAGTTCTCAACCCATCAAAGTATTTCAGTCGATGGGAAGGCCTTCATGGAAATGTTTGAGACTATTTCTAAGCAGAGAAAATACAGTGTCTGTGTTGGATCTGTGAATCCATTCAATACATCGTAATACGAGCATTTTCAATGTCACGGTTTGGTCTATTAACCCTTTATCACTTTTAGCTATGTACATGTAACCTTCCTGCTCTCTTGCTTTTTTTGTGTTTACTTTCTTCCCAAACACAAATCTGTGGATATAGTTAAAGTATATTTTGTACATGATTACAAGAAGGCTGTACTCAGCTCTCTATCTTTGCATTGTGCATGGACCAGCCTTTCTTTTCGTCCACTTCAGGGTAACTAACGGAGTTGGAGGCAGAATGAGACGTGGACCATCCTGGGCCCTTTCACCCTGCCTCTAGTTGGCAGTCAGTCACTAACACATGACATCTACTGTGGAAGAGAATGATCCGAATTTAGAAAGCACACCTACATGCTTCGACTAAACTTTCCCCTCACAGACCAGGGCAAGATACACACTTTGATGTACACACACAGGAGCTGTTGAAGAGCTATAATTAACTGAGTCCCTGTAAAACTAGTTGGGATGGAAACTCTGAACACATTCTTTGGACATTCTTGTACTTGTACTGTGAACACTGAACTCTTGAGCCCTGTTGTTTTCTTTGAGACAGATGGCTCGGACTGGAGTACTTTCAGGCCCTCCACACTCAGCACAGTTCAGCTCTGAATTCCCGACTCTTAGCTTCAGCATGCAGCCTTGGGCTGAAGCTCCCTGACTGAAACTTTACATTATCATCTACCGATCTCTAATATATTACACTGTATTAATACAAATTATAGAATGAATTAGTATAATGTCAAATGTTCTAGGATATGTGCTACTTTTGATCCCAGTTGAGCAAACTTTCCTGCACCTGGACCTCCCGACTGCTCGGTCGTAACACTCAATACCGCAAGAAAAAAAATCATTTTACATAGTTTCAACAGTGTAGACACTTTTATTTTTTTCAGCCGTCAGTCGGCAAGCTTTCAAATTCAAACACTTTTCCACGTTTATCAATGCCACCGTGGATAACACATTTTCAAACAAAAAACCCCCAAAAAAAAAACAATGCTGGACTGGATTTTTAGAGGAAAAAACAACAACAAATCGTTGGAATTTATTCAGTGTCTCTTACAGAAGGAGGAACAACAGCACAAAGAAAAGGGAGGTCACAGTCAGCAGTAAAGTTAATACTGAGCGTACAGTATGAAACAACATTGAGGGGACTCTGTAGTAGCCATTCAAAGGGTTTGCTTGGCCAGGTGGTGTTAAGGAGTTCGAGGGTGCAGGGCTTCAGCTGATGCTGGAGGGAGGGTTCACACTTTCACGTAGTGACGTGTGGAAACGACATCGTCCATTGTAAGTGTCTGTGATGGAGAGAGAAAGACAGTTAATACACAAGTAAAAACACACATATAGTACAATGTAACCATTGTGTGAGAGCACTGACCAGTGTGAGGGCGTTTCCGTCGACGCTCCTGACCAGACTGGTCTCTTTGCCGTCCCACTTTTGTACGTGCACCAACTTCCCACCCTCTACTTTTACAAGCGACTGCAGACAAACAGAGGGAGCTTATTAGTAATTTGCATGACATAGAGGAGCATTTGCACCATGATTTGCACGCTGCCTCCACCAGACTCCGCGAATCTCGTCTGATCTCACGATCCTCGCGAGAATTCAGCTGTCGTAACCTCTAGTAACAGCTGATCCTCCGCCTTGCTCGAGTAAACACGGTCACGTGTCTCCATCCGGTGGATAAATCGCTGTATTGCACTTATCTTTAAAACAGGCCAGCCCAGAGCTGGTCAACTATACCGATGGGTTTTTCTTTAACGGGAACATGCATAGAAATCTGATTTTAAGGTTGTAAGTTAAGACCAGTACATGTTCTCTTCACCTCTCACCCCTGACCTCTCTGACCCATATATCCTGCTGTTCACATTCAAAGCCATCAATCATACCCATGACTGTAATAATCACTTAAATATTCTTCATCAAAGATCACACCTCTCACCTTAACTTTCCTGTCGTCGGCGGTGGTCTCGTCAAACTCCTCATCCAGCTTGAAGGAGACCTCTGTGTTCTTGAGGGTGCTTTGGGTCTTCACCGTCACCGTGTCACCGTCCACTGAGATGATGGTGGTGGGCTTGGTCACGCATCCCATCTGACGTGTAGCAAAGCCCACACCTGTAGAAAACACACGGGTAATATGATGTTTCAGGGACAAGACAGTGTCGCCTTGATGCATACAACAACAAAAAAAAGCAAACCAATGAACAGATCAAACAAACGAATGCAAATTTTATTGCAATCCATCCAATCATTTTTAAGAAAGTCACTCTTGGTCAAAGTCCTGCACAAGCCAATCATCAATTTATATTTCCTAAAATGAATACTTTCTATTAATATATAAAGTCTCCATACTTATTACTAGCAGAGTCAGATCATTAAGGACTATATTATATTTTGAAAAAAAGTAGCCATGCACATGTCCTCAGGGTCTCCTTCAGCCCGACACACTCTCTAATCTCTATTTGTCTGCTGTCAAAATTTGCAGTATGTTCTTCAAACACTGCATGGTCCTGCTGACCTGACTGCCTGTCTGGACGTGTGTGTGTGAGAGTTCATTGCATTGAGTAATAGTGACACACCCATATCTACTAAAAGAGAAAAGCTGTTTTTAGGCTGACGATGCGGTTCATATGCAAGAGCTAAAGCAGCTACTTTCCCACAATCAATACGACAAATGTGTGTGTGTGTGTGTGTGTAGCCGCTTCATTGATCAAGAGGATTGGGGTGAGAGGTTGAAGGGGCTCTATGGTGACTGTAGCAGACAGGTCAGTCTGCTCTCACACATAACCTCACAAAGTCAAACAGTTTAGGGTCATTTTTCAGGGTTGTAAAAGTCAAGCACCTGCCCCCATCACACGCACACACCGTGTGAGATATTTGAGGCCCAGCTACATTCTCGTCCTATTAGATCCTCTGCATCGGGACCACCTTAATATTCAACTCCTCCCATGGCCTCAAACAATGAACAGCCTGCAGCGAAGGTCACCCACATTGTGCTCAAGTGTGTGAATGCCAGCTTGTTGCCATTCAGAGTTTCTCACAGTGGAGTGTTTTCTCCACTATAAAAAAGGAGCCCCTCCCTCATTTCCAGCACTACCGTGCGGTCAACCACACTCTCTTTTTTCCTCCCCCTCTGGTTCCCATCCTCTCCCGTTTTCTCTCTCTCTCTTCTCTTTCCACTCTTGTTCCTCTTCTATTCTCTTTTTTAAATTCTCCATCTTGGTTCCTCCCTTATTTGCCCCTCCAGTTTCTCCCTTCATCTTATTTGCTTTTCCCACCGCAATCTGCTTAAACAGGTTAAACACAAACACACCCTTAACGCATTCATCTTTCCTCAGCCCACATTTACACATGTGCGTACATGCAGCACCACATCCCCTCCTGCTTCTCACACATGCGCACACGCTCGCATGCACACACATGTACACACAAAAACGTACCCAGCTTCTTCATGTAGTCATCGAATTTCACGCTCTCCTTGAGGTTCCATGTGCCAATGAAAGCGTTGGCAATTTCTGCAGCCATGTCGAGGAATGAGGGTGTGCGCGCGTGTGGGTGAGTGTGAGAGAGAGAGAGGGTGTGTGAGGCGACGAAGAAGTGAGGGAGACAGAGAATGAGAGGAGAGGTAGAGAGCGCAGTCAACACCACAAGCTGTGCTGCAATCCTACTGGCTGGATTTATACCGGCTGTTCATGATGTCACCACGCTGCGCAGAGAACGCGGGGGGGAGGGGGGGAGGGATGGAGACAAAGAGAATGAGTGTGTGATATACTTGTTTTTGCTAAAAATGGCTACCTTGCAAATAATGTATACTTGAATGTGAATTATGTAACTGACTATGTACAATAATGCAGTTTTATAGCAGAGTGTGGTGTGCAGGAGTGGAGTATTCTCTTATATTCTAAATGATCTGCGTTGTAAATGTTGTACAACATGCCCGTGGCAACACTGTACCTATTTATGGCCAAGCAAACTAATAGAATTGACATTTTTTAACATCTGAGGAAGTGTAAGAGAGGGAGGTTCAGTGAGAGCAACAGGGCCACCATAAAGACACCCAAGCTTAAGAGAATAAAAGGCGGTGTCAAGAGGGGGGGAGGAGGAAGGAAGGGTTGATGGGCAAACCCGAAAAACAGATTGAGCCTGAGGGGCGGAGGGGAGGAGTGGAGGAGGGGTGGTGGTGATTGATTTTTTTGGAGGGGGGTTTAAGGTTGAAAAGAATCATGACAGTCCTCACTGCCCCCTCTTCATGCTTCACTACTTTTCTCCTCTGTGGCTCCTCTTCCTCGGGTTTACCACCTGCTTTTGTTCTTGTTTGACTTTTACTAACCTCCGTCTGACCCGCCAGAGCACAGAGGGCGACAAGCACTGTGTGTGTGTGTGTGTGTGTAAACACAAACTCCCATGTGATGGCAGAGTGAGCCATAGTCATGAGTGTCAAGATAAGGGTGTTGGAAGGTTGGTTCATTACTACAGTGCCTATTTTAACAAACACACACATGTCACAAATGTCAAACTATTCCTTTAAAACTAAGTCTAAAGCCCTGAAGTCAAGCCCCATCAAAAAGAGCTTTTTGAATAAGAGAGGACAGGCCAACACAGCCAGAGATTTCCTCACTACCAAGGGTCCTTACACACACACACACACACACACACACACACACACACACACACACACACACACACACACACACAGCAGCATTGATTGAAGTACAAATTTCAACTTATCGTCAGTGTGTCTCTGATGAAATCTCCCCATCTGCAAATGGTCACATGATCTGGAAATTGTGTAATAACAAACACACATTGAAACTAACACCCTGTCCCACCACACATACACACACACACACACACGCTCTGAAAAAGCAGGGATTGAGGGAAAAATAAGTCAATGGGGAATACTGTTACTACATCCCATGGTTTCACAGACCCTGTCCCACTGCCCTTTCCCTCCAGTTGCCTCCCTTCTTGTCTATTGGCATATCTAAACTGACACATGTGTGTGTGACGAATCTGTGGCGTGCATATGTCTGACATTTGACACAAACAGGTGTGAGAGAGACAAGGAGAGAGAGAGGGGGAGAGAGGAGGTGAAAGGTCTAAATCTTTTAGCTCCGGCCTAAAATACGTTCACATGGCTGTCTGTGGCCGTGCCAGCGAGTTTAAAAATGTGTTTGATCTTACACAATATGATAAAGTGTTCTGGGAGGCCTCTGTGGTCGTGGAGTTTCAGTCAGGAGATTACCAAAGACTTCTAACACATACATGGTGAAAGCTTTAGCTCGGCTGGATATAACCATGCACTCTAATGCTAAATAAGCACTATCCATCTTGTCTAAAGATGATCATTCAATCAGGCTAGACTGCTATACTGTCCAACCCAGCACTGCTTGTGTTTGCCCTTAACACACACCACTTTATCCAAGCAGGCATCTGTGAGAGTATCTCAGCGTGTGTGACTAAACTATACATTGAGCTGACGTGAGCAGAAAGCTGTTCTAGGCCTGGAGCAGGGTTAAATCCTCCACCAGCTAAAGGAAGAGCTGGCGCGCCATAAACCGAGGAATGTTGATGCTTCTTCCAGCTTTCTCGCAGCTTTCCCGTGCATCTGTGTGTGACTGTGAGAATAATATAATTAAATATCATGTCACTCCCTTCTCTAACACACACTTATTTGTTCAATTAGTCGTGCCAGCCACTCCCTGAACTTCTCCGGCTGCACTCATTTTCACTCCCTTGTCCAACAGAGCTTGAGTGACAAGTAAACAAAAAAGGTAATTACATGAATGTAGCAGCAAAAGTCTGAATTACAATTTAGAAATGATGGATGTTGGGCCATTCCGCAAATATAAGTTCTTTTACTTTTGGTGATGTGATGCTGGTACTTACCAACGAGGGGGATTTATTTTACGACCTGTTAAGCCTTGTGCCTCATAAGACATGGTATACCGTTTCTTGTGGTAGCAGTTGTATGTTGGCGCGCACGCACCGAACAACTGCAGTGTGGTGTTTTGTGTTACCTCCACAGATGGGCCTGAGATTGCATTCCTTGACTTGTTCTGTAAATCCTCTGGTGAGCCAGCAGCAGGTAAAAAAAAAAAGAAGAAGTAAAAAACAGACGCCACATGTACTCAGCCTGTCAGATTCCCTTCCCTCTTTTTTGGAATTTATATGGTGTACATAAAGTTGTTAGCATCAAACCTTTATCATACTACTGCATGCCACTAAGGAATTTTACAACATAATCTCAAAATATAAACCAACTGTAATGAAAAGATGAATTGACTCATGTTCATAGGTGGGTAGTTCTTCCAAGTGAATCCCTTTCCCCGGCCTTGGGACGCACAGGAGGAACACTTGCCTCCTCTGCTGGTCAGACATTAGGAGTGCATTATTAGCATATTGCCTCCAGTAACACAGGGCCCTTACTGGGCAAGATATTGCAACCTTGAAATTACCTCCACTCGTAAAATTTGAACTAAAATATTATTTAGACAGAGAAACACCAGTGCCTTAAAATTACAAAATGACGCTGTCGTAGTTCAGTCGGTAGACCTTAGCTGCATGTCATCATCCTTCTCTCTCCCCTTGTTTCCTTTACTATCACTCTGAAATAAAGGTGTAGTAACTGCCCCAGAATATACTTAAAAACACCTCAAGCTATAAGTGGAAAATAAATGAAGGTTTATGGATTGACACTATTCAGCACTTGAACTTTTGAGACAGCAAAATTGAGACCAGGATAAGAAGCCGGAATAAGAGTTGTTGCTTCCTGATCCAATACTAACAGTATCCTTGGAGACAGAGCCGTGGGGGGCAGTGCATTGAAAAATCAACCGGACACTGTGTGTGTGTGTGTGAGGCAGAGTATTAGATTCCATCAGTGAAACTATGGTAACTGCCCTTATGACTGGCAGTTCCTCTCCCCCCTCTGTCAGTGTGATTTTACACCATAACCTTGTTCCAGTCATTGGGATACAAAAGGTTTTATCCTTCACTAACTCTCTCAGATGACACAGAAACACGTTTTAAAAAGGAGATTATTTACAAATGAGGACACAGAAGGGAAGTTGTGTCTTTGCTGGTTCTATGAATTTGGAGGTTGTGAGGAGTTTATAAAAATGCACATTATTGATAGCCTTAATTATGGGGTTGTAAGGCTCTTTTTCACTAATTTGGGACATTTTTACTTTCAGATACTTTAGATATTTCACTATTACATAGTTACAGTAGAGAGCTGAAAGGATAAGATTGGAGAGAGGGTTACATGGTCAGCAAAGGCCTTCAAACCCCTAGGCTTTAGGCTTGTGACCACTTAAAATGAAGCAATGATCACTTGCGAGCCCTTGTCAATGGTGGCCGGTTGTATATGTTCACCAGTTATTAGAATAAGCTAAATCCTGAGGATCTGGAGGGGTCCTGATCCACAGGTTCGGAACCACGGTGCTCCTTCAGGCTTGCTATCATTGTAGTTTTGGATCTAAATGTGACTGTTTTAGGTTAAAGAAATAAACAAACCAATTACGAATATATTCAATGAAATGATTGATTTAGCATTGATATAAACCTGACAATGTGCTGGTGTGTTTGAACCAGCCCTTAAAGCCCAACATCACTTGGAAAGTGAGAAAATATAATTGAAGAGTTGAATTCATATTACAAAACGTTTTGGCTGCTAGTGATCGTGGTTGGGAGGGGGGGGGCATTGGGTAATTTAGTCTCATCACAGTACAAAAAAGTGCACTTCCGGTCAGCACGTTCAAAATAAAACCTGTTGAATGAACTTTGCTTACAAGCCTAAAGCACACTGATAAGAAAACACAGTCGTTTTAATAGGATTGTAAAAGATATGACAACCACGTGTTTGTTCTAAAGGTATGCTGCTCTTTAGAGAAGCAACTCACAGACCAATATTCATATTATTCAAAATATTTTAATTTGGCACAATCGCTCCACTTCCGGTATCTCTCCTTCACCAGCCGTTTAACTTGACGTGTATCCATGGTGACCACTGTGGCTACACCAGGTCCGGTCTTCTCACAGCGCATCCTGTTACCTTCACTGTCACCTTCACTGTTACTGGAAGATAACAGCAGCGACTCATGGAGAAATAAAAGCGTGAAGAATAAACTTGTTTTAGCTCATGTGTTGTTTTGGAGAGTCATGACGCCCTCACAGAGAACAAGATATGGAGGTGAAGCGGCGCGCGACACTAAATGGAGAATGGCACGTGAGTCGATGGCCTGATTGAATGGATTTTATTACAGTTAAAATAATTGAAAACTTTACTGATTGTTACAGTCAAGACTTATATTACAAATATTAAAATGTTTTTAAACTGTAATGACTAAACTGTATGTGCAATAACAAGACCACACTGACTTTTCTTTTGAAGATTTGAAAGATTGTGACTCCATCTAAGCTGTAAAAAACGTAAAATATTATGATTTATGTGATGTGTTCTAAATATAAGGACACACACACACACACACACACACACACACACACACACACACACACAATGAGGTCCCAGGACCACCAATAAAAGGCGGATTCCTTATGAGATGTTTAAGCTTACGGACATGGAGTTTTTTTGTGTCCACTGTGAAAAGCTTGTATTGTAAAGTGTGTGTTTGACGGTGTGTGTGCTGTTGCTCACTCTCCGGGGGCCAGTGTTGTCTTATTAAAAGAAGGCCACTGGTCATCATGTTAGAGGTTTAGGGTGTTGTGTTTCTGTCTGTTGTTCTGCATCTGGAAACAGACCAAAAACAAACAAACCCCCACTGACTGGACGGAAAACATCTCTGTGTCTCCCTCAGTGCCAGAAAGTGAAACGTCAAAGATGCTGCGTGTCTCCGATGCTTCATTAATCATGCAGATTCAGCTGAGCCCTAACCAGGTCAAGCAAGCTTTTGTTAAGTTGGTTTGCATGACTTCAGGAAGCCTAAATTATTCAGCCAGTGGAGCAAGGTGCTTGGAGAATCTCAAATGGCCCCTTGCACTCCATGTGATGGAAAACACTCAAATCTGATCAGCCAGATTTGTTTTCACACACACACACACACACACACAACCACACACACACACACACACACACACACACAGGAGGAGGAGCTGGTGTTGTGTTACTCTTGAGTTTTCCTTAGTATACAAGTCTAAAAGAAACAATGTGATGACATCAGTGTTATTAATTACACTTTCAATAATCCATCTTTTCTTTCTGTGTTTGTGCTTCAACCCGTTCCCCCTTTTTTTTCATCCTGCTTCAGCTCCTTCGGTCCCGTTGTTAAAGCGTGCTGGCGGGGCACCGCAGCCATGGCCCATTCACCCCCACCCTACGCGACAGGTCCAAAGATCCCACTTCCCTCCTCCTCCTCAGCTCCCTCTCTTCCACACCCGCCATGCAGAAGAGAGCGCAGAGAGGCCCCATCTGGTCACCATCATCCGCCCCTGTGGTCAAAGTACACTACGCAAGGTGAACTCAATATTTACCATTCAAGGCCCAATTCATGGGAGGTTGTGAGTGTTTATCCTTTCTCTTTGGTTGTATTGCAGTCATATACGTTTGGAACACATTGATAAGTCTTTCACTTGCTGATGAGCCATCAAGCCTGCAGGTATAAATATATATAAGCCGTTGGTTAGCACTGTTGCCTCACAGCCTGGGGAGCCTGTGTTCGATTCCCAGGCTAGACGGCTCTTCTGTGTGGAGTTTGTATGATCTCCCCGTGTCAGCGTGGGTTCTCTCCGGGTTCTCTGACTTTCTCCCAGAACACACTTGCAGTTTAGGTGAATTGAAGACTCTAAAGCCTGTATATGTGGATGTGGGCATGAATGGTTGTCTGCCGTTAAGTGCCCTAGGGCGACCTGTCAGCTGGGACATTGGGTGACCATGGACAGGATAAGTGGTTAAAGATAATGAAAGTGTGTATGTTAATAAATGGATTTTGGTGTAGGTGCTTTGCAGTATGGCAGTCCATTTTGCTGAAAAGACAAATTACCCTTAACCATGCAAAGGGACAACCCAAATGTTCTTCTCATTAACAGGTCATAACACATCTAGTAATTTACATTGGAAAGTATTTCATAAATTAACTGTAATATTGTCTCTCTGTTTTCAAGGTAACCGTCCTGTTGAACCGTAGAGGTGTGGTGTCCTTCGAGCAACTGCTATTGGATATCTCTGAGGCGTTGGGGATTCCTCGCTGGCACAGAGCCAGAGTCACACGCTTGTACACGACCCACGCGCAAGAGGTGAGTCTCAACCAAGCCCTCATTAACCCTGAGGCAAGAATACACTGATGGACCACTATTAGCTCCTCCCACATATGTGCACCTGGTGCCCAGGTTTGCTGTGAGGTGCTGGGACACTAGATTGAAACTGGATTTTGACAAGATCGGCATCAAGATAAAGCAGCACACACCTTAAAGAGCTTTTCATGTCAGTTGCTACAATTTGATATTCAAAACAGCTCAAACAAGTTGACACACTGCACACCTGGTATTACGGGGACCCAGGGAATCGTCCTTCTTTGTCCCGCTTTGCCCACACACCTAATGCACTAACCTTCAGTTTACACCCATCTATTGAGCAAGTCAGGGGCCTTATGATATTGTCATGAGGTCCCTTGGCTGTCTTAAATTGTCCCTTTTTCTCTATTTTTTTTTCATAGGTGAAAAGTGTATGTGATTTCTTTCGAGGCGAGGTGGCCTTCCTGGCTCTGGGGAAGGCTCGCCCAGAGCTGAGCGATGTGCAGGAGGCTCTGGAGGAGCTGTTTCCAGAACATTCCCATTACCGAGCGGACGCACTACAGGCCTGGGAGAAAAGACTTCGTCCAGCGCCAGATAAAGCAGCTAAGGCTGACAGTGGATACAGTGAGGGAACAGACAGTAGCAAGACACACACTAACCAAGAGACTCACCAGGACACAAACACACATGCTAATGGTCACACAGGTACTCAGCCGCCTCACTATGTAGACACACACCAGCCTGAAAACTACAAGTCAGATGTACGGAAGTGTCATAAAAAGAATTTGTGCAGAAAACCTGCTCACCTGCCCAACCACCTGCAGAGACTGCGTGTGAGGGGCGGGGTCAGAGAGCGACAGCCTTCTGTCATTGGTCCATTTAAACACGAGGAAAGTCTTAGAGAAGCAGACATACCCTCTCCTGCACTGTGTGAAGACTGTTTAGCAAGGAGAGTTAAACATCAGGTACCAGAGCGGCTCAATCAACTCTCAGGGAGGGTTCCACTTCCTCCTGTGTCGAGGAAGCAAAAAGGAAGTTCATATACAGAACAGGAAGTAAGAAATCGAGAGAAATCGTACATTCACATCAACCCTCTACCTCCTCAGCCAATCAGCAGGCATGAGGAGAAGAGTGTCGCTCAATTCATTTCAAATCCACTTCCAAATGTGGGTGAAGTACACAAGGCCATTCAGCAGAGGACGACCTCTGACCTTCCCTCAGGAGGCAGTGATGTCACCCTGGCAGATATCGAGCGTTTCTATGAAATTGGACGCGTGGTTGGGGATGGAAACTTTGCGGTAGTGCGAGAGTGTCGCCGTCGCGACGGCGGACAAACCCTCGCCGTGAAGATCGTCGCACGCTCCAAGCTGATTGGTCGAGAGCACATGATGCAGAACGAGCTGAGCCTTCTGGGTAGCCTCTGTCACCCACGCATAGTGCGGCTGTTTGCGCACCACCACACACGCACTCACTCCTACCTGGTGATGGAGCTGGTGAGCGGGGGGGATCTGTTTGAGGCCATCAGTGAGAGGGGAAAGTTTCCGGAGGCAGAGTCGGGACTGATGGTGTCAGACGTGAGTGAAGCGCTGAACTACATCCACTGCAAAAGTATCGTCCACCGAGACCTCAAACCAGAAAACCTACTGGTGAGTGTGAATTACATTTGTATGTGATTATTGTATCTTTAATAATTATTAGGTCAGTATACTTTTTGTTTGCATTGACTACCTTTTCTTTATATTGCCACAAAGGGGTGCCAGAGATATCATTTTTTACACTAGTGCAGTGCCCGTTGAAAATGCTTGGCCTGTGGTGTTGCTGCACATACAAACAACTTCACACTCAACACTGTGCTTCCTTGAGTCCTCAGCAATACACCCGCCATGACATAGTTGCGTTACTCACCCAAGTTGCAGCAACACACGGACAGAAACACCAGTGAAATACAGTCTGGTTCAGGGGAAACACTAGGGGCAGACTTGCACAACTACCCTAACAGCTACAGATGTATTATGGTGTTTAGATATGAAAAATATTGAAATAAGAATCTAAAGCTCCGCCCCCACTGCTGAACAGCACCATTCGCTTGTTTACGTGTCTAAATTGCACCAAATTCAACAAAAGCACTCCCTTTGGGTCCTCAGCAATACATTCACCAAGATTGGATGAGCTGTAAGAGAGGCTAAATTATTAATTACAAATCTATTTCTTTGTCTCATAATATTGAAATTCGAAAGACTTTAATGAAAGACCATCCATATTGTTATCTATTAGACCTGCAAATCCAAGCAAGCATGTGGTTCCCCCTGGAGACATTTGGCTTTTAAAAATATAGTCTCGACACCTCCATGCTTGACTCTGTTTCTGTCTGTCTTGTTTTTCTTGTTCTCTCTCAGATAGAGCATGTGTCTGCTGGTATATGTAGGTTGAAGTTGGGAGACTTTGGTCTTGCCATGGTTGTGACGGAACCAGTCTTCACCATATGTGGCACACCCACGTATGTAGCCCCAGAGATTCTCTGTGAGACAGGTTAGTGCTCTTTGTTGCATACACCACTGCTTTACGTTACTTTTAAATCAATGTGTTTCTTATTTCAAAACTCTCCCTAACATTTACTTTGCTCATTTTCCAATCTACATTTTAATAATAACTGTGGTTTGACCCAACAGGTTATGGTGTTGCGGTGGATGTATGGGCTCTGGGTATTATCCTCTATATTCTGCTGTGTGGATTTCCCCCATTTCGCAGTCGGGATCGGGACCAGGAAGAGCTGTTCCGGCTAATAAAACAGGGACAACTCCACTTCTTGTCCCCCTACTGGGACCCCATCTCAGAAGGTGAGAAGTACAGAAATATAAAGTGTGCTCCCACAAATGCCTATAACAAACACAAACAAACAATGTCTTGTTATTGTGTGTTTGTGAGCAGAAGCCAGAGGCCTTGTCAGAGCTCTGCTTCAGCCAGATCCCACAGTGAGGCTGACAGCAGAGCAGACCTTGCTGCATCCCTGGGTGAAGGCTATGGCTTCAATGTGCAGGCAGAGGGCGCTCACAGACAAAACTCAGAGGGACACAGCAGCTACTGGAGCAGAACCAGACAAGTCCAGGCTAGTCCAGAGACTTGTTCAGACCAATGCAGCCAAAACAGTGCCAGACGAAACACTGGGACAAACCGGCAGCGAGGTAGAGGTCACACAGAAAGAGTTCAGCGGGCATGATGAGAGTCAAACTGACAGGAAAGCAGAAAGAGGACAAAATGAAGACAATCCACCTCGGCAACAGTCAATAGAGACAAGTGCAGTTAACACCGTAGCTCCACAGCTCAACGTGTACACAGCCTCAGAGGCCAAACTTGGTCAACAGAAGCCGGAGTGCGCCTCTACAGACTCTGGCTCACCCAGCAGGGAGCCCAGCAGGCCTGAAATACAGGATCCAGGTCCCACAGACTTGGATTCTGGGAGTGTTCAGCCCGGTGCACCCCCAGCCCAAAGTGAGCTTCCATCCCAGATAAAGACGCAATCAAAACAAAACAGACAACAGCAATCCCCTCCATATTAAACACCTTCCACCAATACAGCACAAAGAACCACAGCGGGTCGCTCAACGCAGCACCACCCGTCCTCCGACCCAGCAGCTTCTTCATCTCACTTTCTCCATCAGCAACACTTCACATCTCCCCCCCACAACCCTACCACAGCCCACCCAGCCCAACACCGGGAGCCGAACGTTTACACCACCTCCACCCATGCACCCACGCAGTCTCGACCTCGCTGTCAATCTCCGGTTTGACCGTGTGATCAGATCAGGGTCATCGCCGTCATTGTTCCAGAGGATACCAACGATTTCCCATCAGCCGATCCTCGACTGACCTGCAGATGATCTGATTTACTCTCTTGGGATTTATTACTAATTGATGAAATTGATTTTCACAAATTGATGATGAGATGATGTGTAATGATGACCAAGGTAAGATGATGGGAAGCAGTACGTTGAAATTAATTGAATAGTTGGGCAAGTAGGACATCATTTAGATATAAACATATTTGCTGTTTGTCATTGTTTATAATGTTGTGGTGTATTCATGAAAATACTTTTTTTTGTAGTACATTTCTGAAGTGTTTTTGTTTTGGTTGTTGCCATGTTTAACTTCGACATGTTACCGTGTCTGCCATTCCTAGTGGTAACTATTTTGGATCGCTTGTGTGACGACAGCGACCCCTCCTCCTCGTTTGTACCCCTTCCCCTTTAAGTCAATTCCTAGAAGTCTGTGCTAGGATCTTCAGCAAAATTTATTTACTATATCTTCATAAACTAAAAATATCTGTACCAAGAACTTTTCATTTGAATCCTGTTTAAAGTTTGCCATATTTACTAAACTCTTTCTGAGAATGTAAGTATTTTGTATTGGTTTTGTTTGGAAACAAACTACTGTTGATTGGAATTTATAATCCTGTTGATGAACATGATGATCATCAGTCAGTGATTTAGCAATCTGTGGCTATATTTGGACAAATTACAGTGTGGTAAGATCCAGTGGATAATAGAGCAGTCCAGGACACAGTGTGTGACCACATACTGCTACTGGCTAAGTGTGTGCATAGCTGAGGGTGGTATGGCTCCACTGCCATTCCACACAGACCAAATAAGGCATATCTGTCTGTCCAATGGGAGTGGTTAGTCTTGTCCCTCCCGATTGCAGACAGCTGACTCAAACATCATGCCCCACCTAAACCAAAGGACACACATGCAGTCCCCCATAGTGGACATAGCCCTTGAGGGTGCTAAGCCACATCTGGGGCACTGAAGGGATGAATAAGCTTCGATCAACCTTTTATTGCCGCATTATTTATGCATCCTTAACACACACAATCACAGCGCCTCTTAAAACCAGTTGAACCACATTGATGGCTTGCAGCCACAGGGCCATAAACATAGCAGCAATAACAAGGTGTTTTCTGTTATGAAGTTTTGTCAAGAAGTTTTTCATGTCACAGATTAGTGATGGTGTTATTAAGACGTCATAACGCGTAGATGTGAGTTCATAAACATAAACTAAATGACGTGTCCTTCGCTGATGTGTCCTAACATTGTCGCATATCAGGTTTTGGTCACCTTTCAATGCCAGCCATATACACTGACCCGCAGGTGCTCACTACGCATGCGCCTTTAAAAACTCTTTAAATACCCCAAGTCATCTGCCACAATAAAACATTCCGCTGTCAGCCAGTACACCGGCTGTACTGAAGCAGTCACTGGCACATAGAGGCCCTCCCAGACACATATTTACTTTTAATTACGCGGAGGTTACTTCAGGTATTAGCCACGATTGGGAACCTGAGTAATAACGCATTTGACCCGGAGTCTGTGCAGGGTGAAGTCGGGGGAGACGGACAGGAGAAAACAAAGATGGCTGTGTAGCCAGAGAGACGAGTCAGAACCGTCTCTAGCCGCGGCTTAAATCACACCGACAGCTCCCGTGGGTCCCGTGGACAGTCGGCCGGTACCGGAGCACGGACGTTAGACGAGCAGCCGAGCTGGGCCGCTGGTGTACATCGTTTTAATCCGCTGTCATTGCGAATAACGGCGTCGAGAGCACAACAACAGCTGAGAGACGAGTTGTTTTTGTTCTGGAGAGGACTGCTGTGTTTTTGTCAACGTAGCTAGTCTGCTAGCCTCACTGTAAGTCAACTAGTTAACGTTTAATTAAGTCATGATTACATGTTGCACATGATTTAGTTATTACACAATCATTTGCTTGTTAAATCTCAAGTGGTGGCATTATTAACAATAGCAATAATAAGTTACCGTTAGCCTGTATTCCTGTCTGACAGCCTGCTGCTGTAGCGTTAGCCTAAGCTAACGTTAGCTAGCTGTCAGCTGACCGTTAGCGTGACATGTTGTAAGCTAGCCCTGAGCTAACCTGCTAATATCTCGGGCTCAGCCTGGTCGCGGCAGGTACATCTCGTAGATTCCTAGACAGTCATCGCCATGTCTTCACTGGAAGAGAGAGACGTGGGCGGTGTGGCCGCCCCTGGCTCCTCCTCGGCCGGCATGGGGGTCGGGCCCGTGGGGGCAGCGGTGGAGGCTGCGGCCGGGGTCGCAGCCATGCAGGAGGAGGTCGGGATCCGGAGAGAGGAGGTCGGGATCCGGAGAGAAGGGCCCGAGCCTGACCCAGACGAGCCACCCAAGAAGAGGGTGAGGGTGCCCGATGGACAGTCAGGGAAGCTGGAGGAGAGACTGTACTCAGTGCTGTGCTGCACCGTGTGCCTAGACTTACCCAAGGCGTCTGTATACCAGGTAAACCAGGTGTCAATCACAAACCTTCCCCTCATAACCCTAAAACAACAGCAGCAGCAACAGCTGGATATTATACTAGAAACTCCACACCTGTCCCAACATGCAGACCCCCCAGAGCCAACCTGTTGAATATGTTGGCCAGCTCCATTTATTTTGAGTGATACTAGATACAACACAGGCCCGCAAGCCATGAAGCTGAGAGAGCAGACCCACCCAGCTGTGCTGCCTCAAGTTTATAACATTGTACTGTGAAATATCCTCAAATAACCCTCAGCCAAAGCCACATCCCCGAATCCCACATAAAAACTCAACCAAAACCCTAAATTTGAATAATCTTGTGCCCTTCCATTCAACCTACCCCAACAACCTCCCTAATGACCTCAAACTGCTCACGTAAACGTCAAGTGAACACATCGTCAATTATTAATTGTTCAGTCAGTCCTAAACATTTACATGCCCTTCTGCACCATGCAGCACACATGTTTTAAACTGTAACATTAACAATACCGTGTAAACACAATATTCACATACATACATTAAAACACATTTATGTAGAGAAGCACAACAAGTAAATAACATTAGGCCTGTTAATCTATATACATCACGGACCTGTCATTATTCACATAGAGAGATATACAACTCCAGAATTCTCTGCTTTATAAAATACTTATTAAGTTGTAATCTAGCTGTTGCATTTCCAATGGTGCAGCTGTTACTCTATTGTTGGGTGGTTTGGGCTAATCCATTGTTATAACGTCACTTGAATTATAATAGATTAAGGAAATAGCCTTTACCAAACATGTTTAATGACATTTACACCAAATTGTGTTTGGATTTGAATATAACAATTCTAAGAATAGTCAGTTTCTTCTTCATTATTTTCCCCAATTATCTATTTTAAGCAAACCACATATACAACAATTATGTTCACATTTCTGTCATTGAATTCGACAAGAGAGAAAGTTAAACTCCAATTTCCCACCCTAGTCCTTCCCAGCTTGCACTAATGAGGCTCCCTGTGCCTCTTCCAGTCAGGATCCACAGTAATGATTTTTCACCACTTTGACGTCTCAATGTTTTTTGTTTTTTTTCCCCACGACAGTGTACAAACGGACACCTGATGTGTACAGGCTGTTTTATCCACCTCCTCGCTGATTCTCGCCTCAAGGAGGAACAGGCCACATGTCCCAACTGCAGGTACACCGAGCTCCCTGTGACATCAGCACTTACTGACTAGTGCACATAGCAACACAAACCAGAAGAAGCTGGTTACTTTAGTTAATGATTGGAGATCCGATCATCGTTTTTTTATGGACATATTTTGGCGAACGTTCCCAGACACTTGAGACGCTAAAACTACTTACTGTTGCAGCCAAATAATGTAGATGGTGTACAATTTGTGTCCACTTGCATAACTGATCCAACAAATTGGGAACAAATATTTTGTTTTGATTGATTTAGACCATAAAAACACAAATTCGGCTGAGCTAAAGGCAAGATGAGAAGGATTTAGAAAAGCAGGATAAACATGCAGTGATGACTGTAAGACGCCCCCTAAAGCGACTCTGGACCGTTCAGTTAATGTTCTCAGAATCCAAATTCCTGTTATTTATGACGTAACACACTGATGCATTGGTACAGGAAAAGTTTTTATTTTTTGCATGTCGACTGGAATTTGATCACGTACTGATGAAAAGCATAACGTGCATTGTTCACGAACTTGTCTGAACAGTCTTTGCACATTTGTGAAGTGTGGTTTGATGCGTTCGTGTAGGTGTGAGATCAGCAAGAACCTCTGCTGCAGGAACCTCGCAGTGGAGAAGGCCGTCAGTGAGCTGCCGACAGAATGCACCTTCTGCCTAAAACAGTTCCCCCGCTCCAGCTTAGCGAGACACCAGAAAGAGGAGTGCCAAGACAGGTATACACACACACACACACACACACACACACACACACACACACACACACACCTTTGTGAGGACAGTCATTGACATAATGCATCCCCTAGGCCTAAAACCAAGTCTAAACCCGCCTATTATCCTCGGTTCACAACCGAGGTTAATAAGCACCTTTTGATATTATTAGTACCCTCCACTCACTGCAGTAAAGTACACGTATTCGCTACAAAGCGCCCTCTGTAAAGGATCTCATTTGAGTTTGTCTTTTTAACTCACACGCACCATTATGTCTCCAGGGTCACACAGTGTAAGTACAAGAGGATCGGCTGCCCTTGGCAAGGTCCGTTCCACGAGCTGCCGGCACACGAGGGCGAGTGCTGCCATCCCACCAAGACCGGTACGGAGCTGATGGGAATACTGGGAGAGATGGACCAGAACCACCGCAGAGACATGCAGCTCTACAGCACCATCTTCAGCCTGCTCTGCTACGAAAAGATCGGGTTTACCGGTAAAAACAATATGTAAAGACAAAGTGTGAGGACTGATCTTAATGCAACACATCCCCTCCTCTTACTAGTAAAGCTGGTTACATTAACTTGAGACGTAATGATCGCTTTGCTCCCACTCTTTCCTGGTTCTAATCTTGTCCTCCACTTACTCGTCCCTCCAGAGGTGCAGTTCAGGCCGTACCGCACCGACGACTTCATCACTCGTCTGTACTATGAAACACCGCGCTTCACCGTTCTCAACCAGACGTGGGTGCTGAAGGCGCGCGTTAACGACTCCGAGCGCAACCCCAACCTGTCCTGCAAGCGCACGCTCTCCTTCATGCTCATCCTCAAAAGCAAGGTACACACACATCAGGAGGGAAACATACTTGACAAAACACAAAGCAGAGCTGAACAGGAAAAGGGGCAACGCAAGGAACATACCATGAATGATCGTATCCGGGCAGAACAGAGCACAGCAGACCAGGAACACAACAGACGAACATACACGGAGACAAGGGACACACAGGGCTTAAATACACACCGGGGAGGTGCAGGTGATGAGACACAGCAGTTCAATCAGGGGCGGGGCAGACAAGGACAGGAAGTGAAGTGAACACAGGACACAAGAGGCAGGAAGAGTCAAAATAAAACGGAAGAAACAATTAAACACAAAACCGTGACATACAGAGTGATCATCACCGCTTGGCTAACACAATTCAGGAGCTATTTCATTTGCTGCCATCCAAGCGGTCCATGAGCTCTTGTTATCGTTCTCTTATTCATGTCATGAACATTTTATTTGTAAAGCCCAAAATCACCAATGTGCCTCATAGGGGTTTACAATCTGTACAGGATACGCCACCCTCAATGTTTCGCCCCATTGATTTGAGAACCGATATATCTTATCATCAAGATTGTTATCCCGTTTGGTGCGTCCCTGGTCAGCAGCTGTTGGATGCGTGTGTGCAGGTGAACTCGGCCCTGGAGTGCTCCTTCCTGCTGCTGAAGGGGCCGTACGACGACGTGCGGATCAAGCCGGTCATCCACCACCACTCCTTCTGCAACGACGCCAACGAGACCGAATACGTCCCTCTGCCCATCACCGATTCGGTGGAGTGCAACAAACTGCTGGCCGCCAAAAACATCAACCTGCGCCTGTTCATCTTCCAAGTCCAAAAATAAAAGAGGGATGAGGGATGAGGGAGGAGGAGGAGGAGGAGGAGGAGGAGGAGGAGGAGGAGGAGGAGGAGG